TAATATGTCAATAGTGAGAGCTATTATTATGACCTTTTATAACTAATACTGTGCATGGTAATATAGTCTCCCCCATAATCCCTGGAAGGACAGAAAGAAATGTGGATTGGTATTTGTATTTTCTCTTGCAATTATATAATAGTTGTTCAATAGAAAGCAATTTAAAAATCATTAGGAAGATGGGAAATTTCCCTTTCATAGAAATACCTAGACTCCCCAGAAGAATATCTACTACATACAAATGGGTGAACATACCTCAATATATACACAGTTAGAAACAGCCAGCATTTTCTCCTGGGGCAAGTCATGAGAAAATATGCAGATAAAGGAGATGGATTATTTCAATCTTTCTTAAGCAAAGATAAAAGGTCTTCATAATTTTTTTCCCCACCTGGAAGGACTCACAGGATTGTAGGAAAGTTTTTTGTTATACAGTGATTTTCATGGCCTTTACTAATGAAGGAGATTTAATAAATGATTAAAAAAATGTATACTCACTCTTGGCTCATACTTTTAATCCTGACTACAAAGCAGGCTGAGATATGTGGTTCATGGTTCAGAAAAGCTCAGTCTGGAAATTCTGTGAAACTCTTATCTCTACCTAACCACTTAAACGCCAGAAGTGGAGGTATGGCTCAAGTGGTAGAGTGTTAAACTTTAACCTAAAATCTAATGGGCAATGCCGAGACTGAGTTCAATCCCAAATACTGCCACACAAGAAATAACCAGTTTTTTTTGCAATATTCAGCATTTCACAATTTCATATGATTAAAAGTTTTGCTCGTGCTTATTTTGTAAATATAAATTTACAAGGAAGATACTTTAATTTTTTAAATAAATATGAATTCTGATTGTCTAAAGACTTCAGTTGAGAATGCCACCTCCACTGATTTTGTGCTACTAATCTCAGGAAATTTTTATGTTTATTTCTTGCAATGACTTGAATCCAGTATGTATAAAATAGTTTGTGCACTGTGATGAATCACATTGTTAAAGTCACTCATAAGCCCAAAGTCACAAATTGGGGATCATTTTCAAAAAAATTAAACTAATGAAAATTCCACCTGAAATATCAAAGTGACTTCAAAACCACCTCTGCCACATCAAGATTCTATCAAATTGACAAATGTTATAGCAAATGAGATTATACTCACCAGTTCCCTGGAAGAATATTTTCTGGTAGTAGCAATGATCAGCAAGGAAGTGAGGCCTAAATTTCCCTATCAAATTTTCCTAACACCTGCAGCATATGTTGTTATCAGAAGCGTAAAGGCATAAGAAATGGACAGCCAAGGGGTTGGAATGATCTATTTTAGGAGCAGGGCAGATGATTCTGCAATATTTATCCAGTGGGGACAAAGTGCCACCTTCAGAAGAGGATGAAGTGAAGCTCAAAAGGTCAGCTGCTTCTTCAGAAAAGGGGGTATAGAGTAAGAATTCAGGAAAGGATACCAAAATACCACAAGAATTCCATTTTGCATCAGTCTGGACACCCTAGCAGAATCAGCTTGGAAGGAACCTGCAGCAATGGGAAGAATGCCAGGTAAATTAAGTTCATAGCTGTCTCTTAATTCATGCTTTTAGCTTATGGTAGTCCTCCTTAACAAAGATGTTTTACTTCTTTTTTTTTTTTTAAGGTCTGAGACTGGGACTCAAACCCAGTACCTGACACTTTTGCTCACTGGCTAGCACTCTACCAACTGAACCACACCTCCAACTCCAAGATGTATGTTTTACTTCCAATGCTAACACAGTTCTCTTTATATCCTGAGTAGCATTAGGAGTAATAAGAAAAGAAATGATACAAGAGATAATCTGAGTGAAAAAAGAATTGCATGAGCTGTAGATGAATGCAAAGAAGAGGTCTAGTCACTGATTAATATATCTAAAGTTTAATGTGCTTTAATAAATCCTAACCTTTAGGATTATTTTTAAATGTTTAGTAAGTTTAACGAATATGGGAAATACATGAGAATTTTAGGACTATTTAATAAATAGCATTTTTGCTCTGATTAAATTAATCCCATTTCCCTCACCAATCACTTATCTATATGTTATCTTAGTTCAGTATTTCTCAGAAAACAAATGTGTCTAGCTAAATAAATTTCTGAATTAATATTTCTCAGCAAGTAAAACTGTGTATTTCATCAATAGTTGTTTATTAAAATTGGTTTAAGGTTTTCTATTCTAGCCCATTTAATTCAGATACTATAGAAATTTTCCAACTTTCCCCTTTTTATTCATAGCACCATCATCAAATATTTTCTCTTGTGAGTTGCTTGAAAATTTACCTTGAAAACATCCTATTGAAATTTTCTATGTAATTGGGTACTTGATCTAGGAAATGGCAGTTTCATTACTGCCTTACTGGGTTCTAGTACCTAATCTCAAAGGAAATTCCCACTTGTTTTCTGAAAACTCCTAAGAAATGACATATAAACCATTTCGTTTAGTTCAAACTATGGCAGCACATAACTTTAATACAGAACTTGGTTGGTAAAGGTAGGTGGCTTGTGAATTTGAGGTTAGCTAGAGAGACAAAATGAATTCCAGGCCAGCGTGAGCTGCAAAGTGATACCCTGTTTCAATAACAGAAAACAAACCAAACCAAGTAATCAGCCACACAAAGAAAACATTGTTCATTAATGAATTGCACAGGGGTAAAAACAGGGACTATGCTGTAGTGCTACAAGTAGCATATAAGCAACAAGTATGAAGATTCAGCAATTTCCCCACTCAAGGCTTTCGGGTCTAAAACCTGAAAGAATCATTTTTGGCATTCATGGATTCAGTATCATCTGATCCAACAAGTAGCTTTAATAAAATTTAATTTCAGTGAAGAACCTAAAATTTCTTAAAGAACCCTAATTGGCATAGTTGAAAAATGCTAATAGCCACTTGAGGTAGCTCAATCCTATAAACCCTGCTACCTGGAAGTCAGAGTTATGGGCAGCCTGGGAAGCAGATTGCAAAACCCCCATCTCAAAGTTTGGGTGCAGTAGGACAAGTATGTTTTCCCAGGGATAGGGAAGTACAATGGCTACATGGAGTGGTGGGAGCCTCTCATGGCCAGTGCTTGGAAGAGCACAACTTGAAGTTCAAGCTCTCTTGGGCATAAAGTGGGATCCTAGCTTGACAAAAATCAATGCAAAAGAGGGCTGGAGTCATGGCTCAAGGGATAAATGCCTACCTACTGGGACTAGATCCTGAATACAACATCAAATACTACCAAAAAATTAACTGCTAAATAAAAACCATGTAGGTGGAAAATTTGTATGGACTTCTTGTCCTAATCATGTCTTCTTTAATATCTTTGCACTAGATGGTCCATTGCAGAGCTGTGACTCTAGCCTATTTTGCTTTGGGTATCTTTAAGACCTGGGATATGCCTCAACTATGACCTTTTTATTTCATGCTTCCCATGTTAGCTTTGAATACTGGTACCACTGTGTCCAGTTAAGCCTTGAGAAGGGAGCTCTCATGAACTTTTTCCATGTTCTTGTCTCAAACAGAATCTCCTCAAAACAGACTCCTGGGTGGGAATGCATGATAAGCCACCTCTAAATTTTTTTGAATTGCCTAGGCTTCTTTTTGTTTTGTTTTGTATGTGTGCTAGTATGAGGGCTTGAACTCAGGCCCTGAACACTATCTTTTTCCACCCAAGGCTGGCTCTCCACCACTTCTACCTCAGTTTACTTCTGGTTTTTTTTGTGGTTAATTGAGATAAGAGTCCACAGTCTTTCCTGCCTGGGATGGCTTCCCGCCACAGACTTTAGAACTAGGCCTCCTGAGTAGCTAGGATAGAAATTTGAACCACATTTGATTAGCTTTTTAAAATTCCTTTATCTATCAGTGAAAGTCTTCCCCAAGAAAATAACTTGGACACATGGTCACATACAAGGAAAAGGAACGTATTCTAGTCACCTGACAAGATACCTCCAGGACTGAGAGTAGCAGCCAGAGGAGACTAAAAGCACAGACATGCAGGGTCAAGTTCCTGTGAACTGTGTGGGACATGAGTGACTTGAGTATGGAGGGGAGACTCCATTGTGGTCAGGCTAAGATTTATGGTAGCAGCTGCATGAGCAGGAAATTACTTAGGGGGAATCTGTTGTTACCATTTATGGTTGTAGCTGCACAAAGGAGATACTGCTTCAAGGGGCAAGCTGCCATTATCAGCTGCAGCTGACTGCTTCAAAAGGCCCTGTGTCAGCATATTTTGGGGAAGAGCTGCACTTTAATGCAAGGCCTAAGAGAACAGAGTGTCTCCTGAGATGGAGGAGATCACCCTATCAGAGGATACTATCATAGTTCCCTTTAAGAATGTTACATCTAAGATACGATGTCCATATCCTTTTAATCTTACCTTTACCAGTACCAACACAGTACTTTATAACTCAAGTACAAAATTATTAATGCGTAAAAAATGAATTGGGAAGGTAATCTAATTTATTAAGATTTGCTCTTTATTCACAAAATGAACCATAAAAGACAATTTATAATTCACGCTTTAGAGAATACACCAAAATGAACCACACAGCTAAAAACTGAATCAAATAGATAACATTCTATTTCTTTCTATGACATCAAAGATCTTAAAGCTGAAACATATGGGCATACAAATGCCATGTTATTTATACATCAAGTTCAAACAATGAATGAATGAATCTTTTAGTTTGCTTCAAAAAACAATTTGCATTACAATACTAAACTTATTTGAAAGTTTGAGACTTAGATGGTAATGACTTCTATTAAAATTCAGAGCATTTCAAAATACAAATGTGAAAGGCACACTATCATACATGTCAAAGTAGCATAAAATATCAGAAATGTAAGTATAGGTATGTTCTGCTATGGTCTACGTTCTTTGAACACTAACATCTCTCATGGAACAACACTTGAAGAAGCTACCCCTACTTAACTTAGGTGTGGGGAAATTTGGTGGCCATGGTACTGGAACTTTCAGTGGCCACAGAACTGGAGCCAGCATGGACTGACATTCAGGTGTGGGCTCTCTCTTGTTCATCAAGCAGAGCCTCTTCATAGAGAGATGGGAAATCAGTGGGATCAGTCCCATGAACCTTGGCCATATAATCAAGGACTTTCATCTTGGTGGTTTCAGCATAGGCTCTTGGGCCCCACAGGAGCTCATACTTCTCAGGATGACTATCAGGTCCCTTCTGGCACTCCAGGTACCCTTCCTTCACAAATTCATCGGTGAAGAGCTGCTTGGGATTGCCAAAGATGAAGTGCTTCTTGCGACAACAGATCCCTGTCTGCTTCATCACTTCCCAGATGTGTTCTTCAGTGGCACGGTGGCCCTTCATGAAGATCACCCCCAGTACAAACATCAGTAGGCCAATCTTGGGAATGCCCAATTCTCCACACTGCATCCCATCATAGGTGAAGCCTTGTTTCATGATGACACCATAGCAGTGGTTGGTGGCATCCACTTCCTTCACTTCCAGGCCAAAAATAACCTCAAGGCGTATACAAGCTTTCTTGAGGATTGCAGAAAACAGGGCCTCATGCTCTCTAATGACAAACTTCACCATATCTGCCTTGCTTATTGGCTCTTTCCGTTGGTAATAGAGCAGCAGGATATTCATCAAGAAAGACACTTTCTTATCCAGAAGACCCTCTAAAGTAGATGGGCTAGACTCTTCTTCACTACTGGAGCTGTCATCACATTCGCCTCCACAGGCAGCATGAATGCCACTGGAAGAGAAGCTAGCACTACGAGGACCACTAGGATTACTGGGGGCCTCAACAACAGGAACCAACTGCATATTACTTGGCATCACAGGACTGGAGGAGGACGGTGTTTCCTCCACAGCCTGGGAGCCCTGGGCAGCCTCTTGGCCCTGGGGCTCATGGCCTTTGTCATGAGAACACTGTGGGAGCTCCTTATCATGGGGCATGATGACTTGGTGTGGAAAGGAGGTCGGGAGAGGTAGAATCACTGCCAAAGGGATAAAAGGAACATGTGAGATTGCTGGAGGGTGGTAAATTCACTTGCCATGCTTCTGATACCGTCCTCTGTCAAAGCATTTCTACCGAGTGTGATAAAGCCTCATAGGTCTCCTATCAACCTGGTTTCTACAGGCCTTAAGACAGGAATGAGGATATAAGTAGCTTTCTGAATATATTATCATCCAACTCAATAGGCACATTGTAAGGGCTCTGGAATCAGAGTCTCATTTGTGCTCTGTGTCATCTGCCTCATTTTTTCTGAACAAAGCAGTTTTCCTCTTATGACCACAAATCTCATCAACTTTGACAATGGCAGGGACAATGCCATCTTTTCTTCTATAATGCAAAGCTCTCCACAAATTCCAAGTACCTAAGTTACTGAAGAGAACTGCTATATTCCCTCTCTTGTTTTATTCTTCTGGAGATTCACAAAGGTGAAAACAAAAGCTTAATTCCCAGGGACATTTGTAAGTTCCTATTAGTTATTTCATGAGCCTTTTTTTGAATACAGGCAGGAGATTGGAACCTTCTGTTCATGAACTTTTACATGTACAAAAAAGTTTCTACCTTTCGCATGCCACAGAGAACATAGTTTGGTTTCACTTGCCACTTAAAGCCTTACTAATACCCTCCAAATGAGAACAGTAATACATGACTTCATACTGCGATACCTGATCATTTCCAGTGGGCAACCTGTCAGCTTTAGCTCCCATAAAACTTGCCTGGGTTGACATGGGGCCAGACTCTTTAACTGTGCTCATTTATTCCACAACCCTTTTTCTACAATCACAAAAAAAATTCTTGACATAACTGAGAGTTACACGAAGGCCTTTTTCTATTTACCACACTGTTATTACAGTGTGGAGTTTCCTTTTATCTAGGGCAGGCATGTCACTTCACCCTCACTCAGGAACTTACACTTGTCTCTTGTCAGAATCTTCTCTCGTGTACTGAACTGATATCTGACAGTGTCACACAAGTCAAGAACACATACGGCAAAATCTTCAGGAAGAAGATTGAAAACTTGTCTGGAGATCCCTAGCAATGTTTCCTAGGGCCAAAATGTCCTCAGGGAACTTTAGTGACCCTATATACTATGTGGATTCCTTTCAATCATTAGTCTGCATCACTGTAGAGTCTCCTGATAATTCCTTAGCATAGATTTCACTGCCTATTATATGTCCTTTAGAGACCAAGTATACTACCTCTAAAAAATACTGTGCACGCAGGATGCCAGTGAGAATTCTGGCTATCTTTTTTTGAGTCTCTGAGGGCATGACTGCAGAAGCAGAAAGGTTTTGGGGTGTCCTCTCTACACTTAAATCAGATGAACAATCCTTTGCTTAGTCAAGTTGGGCACCAAGGCTGTTTATATTGCTCTTTCCTTCTGCTGACTTGATCTCATTGTCTACACATTCCCTCTTAGCATTGTTAACACTCCTTTCTGCTGGTATCCTGATATCTTGCTTCTGGCCTGATAACTTTTATATTAAATACGCATTCTATTGAGCAACAAAATGACTAGAAGGATTATTTTATATATATATATATATATATATATATATATCAACATCTCAATAACGTAAACATAGGTGAAAGCATTCAATCACTTGTGTTCTCAGGCTAGTGTTTCCTTCACTAATTTTTTCTTACCCTGAAGTCCAGATGAACTTGGGAATTTGCTCTCCAATGATCTTTCCTCAGTCTCCCAGCTCCAAATCCCCACCAGTCTGGAAAAAGAAAAGAGAGGACATGATGGTAGAAGACCAGTGCATACCTGCTCCAGAAAATTCCCAGAACTTACCGATGAGGCAGGGACCGGACCCACAAGGAGCTGTTAGGCAGAATGCAGCCTGAACACTCTTCTGTTTGTGTCCTTCAATCCTCACAAGCCCAAGATTTAACTCCCAGCCCAGAATTTAGCATTTGCAACAATATATCCTTTCTAGAAAACACAGTGGAGTCATCAGTGGGTGTGTCTACTGGTTTTTTCCCCCTCCGGTTCTCCCAAAGTTTTCATATAATTTATGAGAATGTACTTGTAATTTTCCCTTCCTCTACATAATTCAATACATCTGTAAAACAGGGTAAAAACTGCATATCTCTGAGATGTTAGAAGAGGAAAAATATTTACAGCTTGACAGCCCTTCTGTGCTGCTTCTAATGATGACAAGATGGCAAGGGCTTATTGGATCCTCCTTTGTCATTCTTTACTCTCATTGCACTGTGCCAAACAGACTATATGAGACCAAGTTCTCTCCATTCCAGGGATAGATGCAAAATTCACCATTTCCACCCCCTACCACATCTAAGAGGAATCAAGTAGATTTGCCATATTTATGGTAGGGGCGAAAGTTCCCATGCTTCTTCATGGGACTCTTCTGTCTATTCGCCATTTCTACCCTGCTTCTGCCCCTATCCCTCCAGCATGCCCACCACACTGCCACCACTGCTGTCAGCACAGCCACCACTGACAGTGCTGCAGCCACCCCACCTCTCCCTACTGCACCTTAGAAGCATCAACTACATGTGCCATATTTATTCTGTCTGCAAACTTTGCAGTATTTCTTCATGGATCATTGTCTTTTTCCATTCCCCATTTCCACAATGCTGCTGCCCCGTAATCTGCCCCCCTCCCATGCTGCGATTGCCTCCATAGCCGCTGTGCCACCATATTTAGGCCGCTGGAGAACTTCGCCATACTCTTCAGGGGACGTTTTCCTGAGGAAGATTCGGTCTGGGCATGTCTCCCCCCACACACAAAGCCTCTGCCTCCGCCACAAAGCGGCCCCGGCCCGGCCCCGGGAGGTAGCGCGGCCACAACCTCCCAGCCCCACACCCGCGGCCCGACACGCGGCACCGGCGCCATGTTCATTTGCGGCCTTGCTCCATGTTGGACCCCGAGGCCCCCTCTGTGTCCTCAGACCCCCTCCGCACCCCGAGGCCCCTCCGTCCTCATTACAGCCTTATCTTAGCATTGGGCCGCACCTGCGGCGGCTCCTGCTGTGCTCTGGTGGGAATTCACAAGGTGCAAGTCAGAGCCTCACAGGGAGTCTCTTGCTGCTTGCTTGCTGCCGCGGCAGCTCCCCACGCCCAGCCAACATCCGGGGATCCTGCCCAGGGTCACCCATGGCTGACTACGAGAGCACATATGCTCTGCGCATGCTCCTGAATTCCTTAGGCACCGAGTTGGGGCTCTTGTGGTTGGAGAATTCCTCTGATGTTCTTTAGTTCGAGAATGAATTGCTCTTCCCCCAAGCACTGGAATGCTCCTTGATCTTTCAGCCTATCGTGTTCCTTTCCTCAGTCCGTATTCATAGGGACCCCTATTTCCACTGTTTCATCTTTGTATGACTGTGTCTTTCTAGCCTAGGGCTTGAACTCAGGGTCTGTGTGCTGTTTTTTACTTTTTTCAAGTCTAATGTTCTATCACTTCAACTACTGCTCTACTTCCTGCGTTTTGCTGGTTAAAGGGAGATAAGAGTTTCATGGATATTTCTGCATGGGCTAGCTTTGAACCTCCATTCTCAGTTCTCAGCTTCCCGAGTAATTAAAATTACTGTCCTCAGCCACCAGTGTCCAATCAGTTCTTTTCTCTTTTATTTATGAAGTGTGTGTAATACATTCTCCAACTTTCGGCATAATTAATTTACATGATCAGTTTTCTTACATTTTTTTAGCTTTCTTACTTTTAATGTAAGGGCTACAAAACTTAGGATTGTGTCTTTCTCTAAGTCTTGATGTTTGACCTATCCCAGATGGGTCAAACCACCCATTCCAGAAGACCACAGGGACACAATCAAGTATAAGAAAAGGAGTTTATTTGCCAGCCCAGGCTGACAAAGCCATCTCCTACACAGGAGAGGGAGAAATGGTGCTTATCCTTTGTTCAGGATCAAATTTATAGTCAGGGGGCTAGGGGCGGGAAGTACGGGAAATCCTATTCGTGCATGTGCAGATGAACACGAAAGAGGGAACATAATTGGTGTGGAGTTTTCTGACTGTTAACACCTACAGTTAGGCAGCCTTCTCTGATATAGCTGGGGACTAGGGGTAAAATATGGCTCCTGGAAGTGAAGAGAGTAGAACGGCCAGGCTGAAGGCCAGCTGCAGATAGGCCTGGCCAGATTAACTGGTTTTATGGGAGAGGCTGAGGACCAGAGATAGAGGGCATGTTAACAGACTGGGATGTATTAGGGCCAGGTTGGTAGTAACAAATGTAGGTGAGGGGAAATCAGAGAAAAACTATAGTCTTCCTTAGCCAGACGTAGTATCTTATTCTGGTTTTCTTCTAAATTTTAATTTTCATTCATGGAAGACACCAAGTGTAATGGCCCTCTGATTCTCTAAATCCTTTATATAGTATATTAAAGTATCATAGGATGATGACTATTATCTTTTCTATTTTCATACGTATTATTTACTTAGGTAGTCTTTTCCCTTGTCCTTATTTTTGAGATCAGTTTTCAACAGTGGAGCAAATGGACTCAGTTCTTGAGTTCTCCTTAACTGGTTTTTTTTTTTTTTTCACTCTAGTGAAATGCATTCTGACTATTTAAATGGAGTGTTCTTCAAGTCGTCAAGTGTCATCCTTGATTGAAAAAGCTAAAGAAAAGTGACCAGGCCCTGACTTCAAACCCCAATACAGGTACTCTCCTCCCCAATAAAACATTTTTATTCACTCCTAATTCTTATAATTTCAGACCAGAAAAAATTTTGCTTTTGCTTTTTTCTGTAATTACAAAATTACAGGGAAAATTAGATATTTAATTTGGAAACAAGTGTGAATCCTAATCATCTAAAGAGCTAAGCAGTGCATTCTACTCCTGTGGATTCTATATATCTAGTCTCAGGAAACCCTCTCATACTTACTTTTGGAAACTCCTTGAAGCTGATATTTATAAAATACTCTATGCACTGTGTTCAATCATATAGGCATGTTAATTTATATGCCATTAGTCACAAATCAAGGATCATTTTCAAAATTACAATAATGAAAATTCCACTGAAAATTACCACAGTGGCTTCAAACCTGCTTCTGCTACTTCAGAAATCTATGAAACTAACAAATATATCAAACAAGATAATATTCACAAATTCTCTGTAAAAATATTTTCTGGAAGTTTTAGATATGACCAGCAAGGAAGTGAGACCTAAATTGCCCTGTCAAATTTACCTCTCATCTGGAGATCATGTTGTTATCAGAGGAGTAAAGGCAGAAGGAATGGACAGCCTATATAGTTTTACTGTCCTTGCTGTTCCAATGGAGATTGAGTGTTTTATATCAGGAGCAGGACAGGTGATTCTGCACTACTTGTTGCAATGAGAACAAGACGCAGCCTTCAGAGGACAATGCAAAAAAAACTTCACCAGGCTGGGTTCCTGTTCAGAAAAGCAAGCATATTGGAAAAGCCTAGGGAAGGACGTCAAAATATCACAAGAATTCCACATTACATAAGTCTTCCACTCTCTAGGCAGAGTGTGTTTTCAAAGAATCCTGCACCAATTGGAAGAGCTCTAAGTAAATGAAGTTCACAAATGCCCCCTTAATTTGTGCTATTATCTATTTTAGACTTCCTTTCTAAAGATATTTCACTGTCAATATTCTGAGAGGCATTAGGAACAAGGAAAAGAGACTCTGAGTAAGAAGAATGGAATTGAGCTAGAGGAATGCAAAAGAGCAGCCTAGTACTAGATGGCTGGCACATGTTTTAATCCATCCTAACTTGGAGGATTATTCTAACATGTTTACTGAATATAATTTAAATGAAAAATACATAGGATACTTATTGTAGGACTACTTAATAAATAACTTTTTGCTTTGAGTAACTTAATTCCATATCCATTAACCCTCACCTCTATATATGTTGTCTAAATCCAGTGTTTCACTGAAAACAAAATGTGTTTAGTTTTGGAATTTCCAAAAACAATCCTTCAGTAAGTAAAACCATATAAAATATTTCAATGGTTGCTCATTAATTTGGGATTAGAGTTGCTTTCTTCAACAGATTTAATTCACACGATACAAATTTTAAATTTGTCATGCACTGCTGCCTTTAAATGTAAGATTTACTTTTTCACTCCTAGCACAGACATCAAATATTCTCTCTTGTTCATTGTTTGAAAATTTACCTTGAAATTCTCCTAATGAAATTTTCTGTGCAAGGAACTATATACTTGTTTTTCTAGAAAATGATAGTTTCACTACTGCCCTATTGGATTTTAGTCCCTAATCTCATGGAAATGGCATGCTTCTATTTTGAAAACTTGGGAGATTCATGCATAAACTACTTAGTTTAGTTCAATATGTGGTGGTCCACACATGAAATTCCAGGATGTGGGAAATGAAGGCAGGTGGTTTGTGAACTTGAGGCTAACTGGGGGAACACAGTGAATTCAAGGCCAGACTGGGCTACAAAGGGATATTGTTTCAAAAAAGAAACAAAATCAAATCAAACAAAATTTAGGCACCAAAGAATGCATTATTCATTGTTGAATTACACAGGAGTCAAACGGGAGAACATGTTGCATTGCTACAAGCAACAAGCTATCAGCAAGTAATAGCTATCAGCTATTTCCCAGCTCAAGAATTCTGGGTTGAAAGCTTGGGATAAACAGTTGGGTATTCAAGTCCACAGTCATATCTGACCCAGAAAGTAACTTACTATAAAAGTAAATTCCAGTCAAGAACTTGAAATTTCCAGAAGCCCCCAAAGACCATGGTTCCGAAGTACTTATCTAAAAAGTGGATATTGGTGGTCACAGTGTGAGTCCAGCCTGGGAAGGAATTAGTTCATGAAATTCCTTTCAATAGTTGGGTGCATTGGCACATGTCTGTTTATCAGCAATAGGTAAGTTCAATGGGTATGTGCAGTGGAAAGTGTGTCCCATGCTCAGTGGTTTGAGGAGGCACAAGAAGATGGCAGCTTGGTCTGTCCTGGGTATATAGTATTATACTTGCTGGAACACAACCAATGCAAAAAGTAGCTAGAGGCATGGCTCACGTGGTACAATGTTTTTCTATTCAGAAATAAGACCTGTTTTCAATACTAAGTACTAATTTTTTTTTAAATAATGTTTGAAGGAGGAGGTGGATTAAAATATTGAAGGGGTTGACTTTGATCCAAATACACTGTATTCATATATTTCTTTCATGAAAGGCAACACCTTTGTACAACTACTTAAAGAAAATACTTAATATATGTATATTGGGGAGGGGGGGTTCAGTCGTGGGGCTTGAACTTTAGGCCTGGGTGCTGTCCCTCAGCTTTTCAGCTCAAGGCTAGCGTTCTACCACTTGAGCCACAGTGCCACTTCTGGCTTTTTTCTTTTTGCTTATGTGGTGCTGAGGAATTGAACCCAGGGCTTCACGCATGCAAGGCAAGCACTCTAACACTGAGCCACCTTCCCATCCCCCTTAAAAATATTAATGTGAAAAAATGATAAGAACCTCTCAAATTATCCTACTGTTAAATTCTTTTTACTTTTGTGCCTATAATGAGGTTTGATTTGATAGGTGGTTTGTTGTTGACTTAAGACTCCAGCCATTTTTCTTTGGTTATTTTTGAGACAGAATCTTTAGTTTTGTCTGGAATTTTCCTGAACTATGAGCATCTGCTTATATTCCTTCCACAGCAGATGTGAAGATACATGCAAACCACTGTGGGCAACTACAGCTTGAGAAATCACTAATGTGGAAAAAATAGAAGTAATGAGAATGTGATCTAATTTATTAAGATTTGCTTTTTATTCACAATGAACCATGAAAGACATTTTATAATTCACACTTTACAGAATATGACAAAATGAATAACACAGCTAAAAACTGAATCAAATAGGTAACTTTATATTTCTTTCTATGGCATCAAACATCTTAAGCAGAAATTCTCCCAATTTCCAAACAAATGGGCATACAAATGCCATGTTATTTTACATCAAGTTCAAACAATGAATGAATGAATCTTTTAGTTTGCTTCAAAAAACAATTTGCATTACAGTACTGCATCAGATAGAGTATGACATGTCAGACTAAACTTAGTTGATAGTGTTAGACTTAGTAATGACTTCCATTAAAATTTAGAGCAATTCAAAATACAAATGTGAATGATATACTATCATACATGTCAAAGTTGTATAAAACATGAGAAATTTAAGTATGGTATATTCTGCCATGGTCTACGTTCTTTGAACACTAACATCTCTCATGGAACAACACTTGAAGAAGCTACCCCTACTTAACTTAGGTGTGGGGAAATTTGGTGGCCATGGTACTGGAACTTTCAGTGGCCACAGAACTGGAGCCAGCATGGACTGATATTCAGGTGTGGGCTCTCTCTTGTTCATCAAGCAGAGCCTCTTCATAGAGAGATGGGAAATCAGTGGGATCAGTCCCATGAACCTTGGCCATATAATCAAGGACTTTCATCTTGGTGGTTTCAGCATAGGCTCTTGGGCCCCACAGGAGCTTATACTTCTCAGGATGACTATCAGGTCCCTTCTGGCACTCCAGGTACCCTTCCTTCACAAATTCATCGGTGAAGAGCTGCTTGGGATTGCCAAAGATGAAGTGCTTCTTGCGACAACAGATCCCTGTCTGCTTCATCACTTCCCAGATGTGTTCTTCAGTGGCACGGTGGCCCTTCATGAAGATCACCCCCAGTACAAACATCAGTAGGCCAATCTTGGGAATGCCCAATTCTCCACACTGCATCCCATCATAGGTGAAGCCTTGTTTCATGATGACACCATAGCACTGGTTGGTGGCATCCACTTCCTTCATTTCCAGGCCAAAAATAACCTCAAGGCGCATACAAGCTTTCTTGAGGATTGCAGAAAACAGGGCCTCATGCTCTCTAATGACAAACTTCACCATATCTGCCTTGCTTATTGGCTCTTTCCGTTGGTAATAGAGCAGCAGGATATTCATCAAGATAGACACTTTCTTATCCAGAAGACCCTCTAAAGTAGATGGGCTAGACTCTTCTTCACTACTGGAGCTGTCATCACATTCGCCTCCACAGGCAGCATGAATGCCACTGGAAGAGAAGCTAGCACTACGAGGACCCCTAGGATTACTGGGGGCCTCAACAACAGGAACCAACTGCATATTACTTGGCATTACAGGACTGGGGGAGGACAGTGTTTCCTCCACAGTCTGGGAGCTCTGGGCAGCCTCTTGGCCCTGGGGCACATGGCCTTTGTCATGAGAACACTGTGGGAGCTCCTTATCATGGGGCATGATGACTTGGTGTGGAAAGGAGGTCGGGAGAGGTATTATCACTGCCAAAGGGATAAAAGGAACATGTGAGATTGCTGGAGGGTGGTAAATTCACTTGCCATGCTTCTGATACCGTCCTCTGTCAAAGCATTTCTACCGTGTGTTATAAAGCCTCATAGGTCTCCTATCAACCTGGTTTCTACAGGCCTTAAGACAGGAATGAGGATAGAAAACACCCCTTGTGTATAATATCATCCAATTCAATAGGAAAATTGTAAGGGTTCAGGAAACAGTCATAGTTGGGCTCTGTATCCCCTAATTTTTTTTCGGAGGAAAGTAGTTATTCATTTCCTTATTGTCCCAGACAGCAATAGAATGGTTTTCTTTATTCCCTGTGAGGACTTTCTCACCTCCACAATCTCTAGTCCCCAGTGGCTCAAAAACGAGGAAGAAAGGCTCCTGCCAATTCTTAAGTTTTCCCTTGACTAGTGTGATCCTCTGGAAAAAAAAATAAATACTCTGATTTGGAGGCACTCCTCATTCATATTGGTACTTCATATAGGCTAGGACATGTACCTCAGGAGTCCGTATGATGCCCTGGAGGGAGTTTCCCTATTGATAAATGCTATGAGTTCCCCCAGAAGAATCTTTCCTCTGCTAACTTTTAAAGTATATTTGACTTCATGGGATATTGTGGCCTGGTATTCTGGATGGTGGCTTGAGAGTCTGATGAAGCACATCTCATTAGCTCTCCTGACCTTTCTATAGGCAGCTGGATATGACCTCAGTGATTCTAATAATTTCAAAAAGCAAAAATACTTGGGATATTATGAATTGAGGAATGCCTGAAAGTGTCACACCACCTCTCGGTATCTCAAACCATTAACCCCAGAATATTATCTAGCCTGGAAAGATATCAGGTTACTATTGGGTCAGAATCTGACTTCTTTGGAGAAACAGAGGGTGTTAGATCAAATGGTAGGAACAGGAAATCACTACTACACTTCCAATGGCAGGAATAGTAGACAGAAGATTGAGATTCATATGTGAGACAAAGCTGTATTTACAAATGAACCCAGTGAGATCCTGAAGATAGTTGCCACAATTTGGAAGAGAAATCATTTCATATTCTGCATATTCAAAGTTCAAAGGAGGGTGAAAGTTAAGCTACTTAATTACTCCTAGATGATGACTATCCATAAAGGAGACACTGAAGATCCAGTAGCATTTTTACAAAGATTAGATGGTGCTATACAAAAATATACCAGTGTGCAACCAGGAACACAGGAGGCAGACATTATTCTTACAAATAATTTTTTGTGCCACTCCTGGGGACTGAACTCAGGTCTGGGTTGCTGTCCCTGACCTTTTCTGCTCAAGGCTAGTGCTCTACCACTTGAGCTACTGCTCCCTGTCCAGCCTTTGGGTCGTTAATTGGATATAAGGATGACTGGTTTTGAATTACAGTCGTCAGATTTCAGTCTTCTGAGTATTACCTGTAATCCTGAGGATTACAGGTATGAGGCGCAGGAACCCTGAAAAGATATATATTTATCTCTATTGGCCACCTTAATATTCATAGGAAATGACAAAATCTGGCAACCCAGGAGAACAGGTCTTTGGACCAAGGAGTCTGAGTATGTGTTACAATACGGATCTGGATGAGATTATTATTTTGTCCATGCAGGTAACCTAAAAGAGAGACAAGCCCTAATTCCAGGGCATGTTTCATCTATGGACAGGAGATCAATATAAGAGGGAATACTCCTGGAAGCACAAACAATATCAGGAGCCCTGCCTCATTGGTAAAGGAGACCAATGGAAGGCCCCATAGCTCCATGACCCTGTGGTCCTTGCTCTATCAGAAGGGAAGAAAATGGGTAGGGAGATAATATGGCCTTAACGGATACAGTGTCATTTTTGGCCCTCCTCTTTTTTCCTGGACCCAGGTCCCCCAATAAGGTTACTATTAGGGTATATCAGGTCAGCTCGAAGAGCATTAGTTCACACAACTCTTGGCCTGCTCCTGGTGAGAGTTCCACTTCTATCAATCATTTCTCCAGAATTCTAACTGGAATCACTGGCCCCTTTATTAGGGAACGACATTTGTCCCAACTATAGGTTAAGTTGCAGAGTACTATAGACAGGACCTTATAAGGAATACAGCAATGGCTCCAGCTGGGAGTTCGAATTGAGGGTTGATAACAATCTGGTGCTAACCAAGAGGTTTATTTCAGCATCCCTGGTACCTTACTCCACATTTTTAAATAAACATTGCCTCTGCATCCACTTTTTCTGTATCACAATTCTTTATTTGGTGGAGGGGAAAAAGGACCCAAGACCCCAATAAGGTCTCATTCTGTGTTCTGAAGTGAATGTTCCTTCTAAACTGACTCCTTACCTTGAATTCTCTAGGCACTGTAATTCTTCCTGCGAATGATGTGGCCTCACACTCCAGGTCCAAAGCCCACAGTTGTCTAAAGAAGAAAAGAGGTGACATAATGTTATACCTATGCATACTTTAGCTAGAAGTTTCCCAGGGCTGACCAAAGAGGCAGGAGCCTGTCCCACGATGATCTTTATTTGACTGTCCAGTCTGGATTATTTTCTTTTTGTGTCCTTCAATCCTTGCAAGGTCTAAGATTTAACTTTCAGCACAGAGTTTAGTTTTTGCAACACTATATCATTTGTAGTAAATACAATGGAGTCATGAAAGAGCGATTCTTTTGTGTACTTTCCCTCAGGATCTCTCAAGGTTTTCATATAATCTGTAAAAGTAGTGAATTTTCCCTTCTTACAGAATAATGTGTTAAGCAAAGTAAATCCTTCGTAACTCAGATTATAGGATGAAGACACCCCCCCCCCACACACACACATTCACAGCCTGCCATGTCTACTGTGCTTCCCCCAGAGCTGACAGGATGCTACAGGCTTTATTATGTGTGCACCAGTCATGGGGCTTAAACTGAGGGTATGGGTGCTATCCTTGAGGGTTTTTTTTTTTTTTTTCTCAAAGTAGCACTCTACCTCTTGAGCCACAGGGAGCTCTACTTCTGGCTTTTTAGTGGTTAACTGGAGATAAGAGTCTCATAGAGATCCTGTCCAGGCTGGCTTAGAACTGCAATCCTCAGATATCAGTGGCCTTATTAGTTCTAATTACAGGCATAAACTACTGACCTGACTTGTACACACTTTTTATTTGTCATTTATTTGTCCTTTGTCACTTATTTATTCTTATTACCTTCAACTGGAGTCACACTAGAAAGCATTCAATAAAGTGAACTATGCCATCTACTTTGTGAGAATCCAGGTTCCAATCCTGACCATATATCTGAGACAGCCCAGAAAGAAGTCTGGACCCTTTATACACTGGACATCCAAAATGGAGAACAGGTAAATGGCACTGCTATTTATCTGGCTTGAGGTGCATAGAATTTAGTAAATTGTTCAGGACTCCACCTGGACAAATGTAAGTCCAGATAATCCTTTCCCTGCCTATAGAACAGGCTACAGGAAACCAAGTTCTCTCTATTCCAGAGACAGAAGCAAAATTCACCATTTCTACCCATTCACAATTTCTGCCCTTCTGCTGCTCCACCCCTTCCTCTGAGGTGCCACTGACTGCATCCTCCGTATTTAAGCTATAAGTGAACTTGACAATATTTCTCCATGGTACATTTTCTGCACTCAATATTTCCAACCTGCTGCTGCCCCCCTATGTCACCCCCTCCCATGTCGCCATAAATGTTGCCTCAGCTGAACCCCCACCCACCGCGGTAACTCAGTGGCATTGACTGGATTTACCCCATTAATGCTGTCCAGTTAAATATTTCCAATACTTAATGGGACATTTCTGCTTAGTCACCATTCTGGCCTGCTGCTGCCCCCCCCCCCCATATTCTGCCCCTCTTCTGTTGCCACCACTGCCACAGCTGCTGCCACCCCTAGTACCTCTCATCATTCCCCTCCCCCCACACTGCCTCTCCCCCACTTCCTCCCCATTGCAGTACCTCAGCAGCATTGACCACATTTGTCAGTGAATTAGCTAATATTTCATCATGGGACATTTTTCTTGTTTTCTTTTTTTTTTTTTTGGTCAAGGTAATGTACAGAGGGCTTTCAGTTACATAAGCTAATGAGTACATTTCTTGTCAAACTTGTTACCCCTTCCCTTAATTTTCTCCTACTTTCCCTCCCTCATAACCCCCCACATCCAAGTTGTACAGATCGTTTCCAACATATTGTCTTGTGTTCATTGCTGTTGCATAGGTTTCCCCCTTGTCCTTTGTCTCATCATTCTGTTGTTCTCCTTCCCTTCCCTAATATTTTCAAATAAATGTATATACAATACTATGGTACCAAAATCAAATACAGTGACTATAAGGTCCGCTCCTGGATGGCTAGCAGACTCCACCCTCCTCGCAACAAAGTTTCCACCCAGTACCTGCATTACCTAGGCAACTAGCACACCTGGAAGAGGTCACATCTGAATTTCATGTGGCCACACCTTTCTCCACCCATACCCTAGATAAGGCCTAGCCCAGGCCCAGACTCTCTCTTACTGCTCTTTTCTAGCTCTTTCTCAGCTCTTTCCTTCTCTTCTCTTTCCCAGCTCCCTTCTCTTCTTAGCTCTCTCTTTGCCACCTTTCCCAGATGCTCTCTTTTCTAGCTCTTTTCTCCATCTTTCCCAACTCTCTCTCTTTTCCAGCTCTCCGAGCTCTTTTTCCCAGGCCTTTCCCCACCACGTGGAGGACCAAGATGGCCTGGTGCCAGCCGGAAGGATGAATAAACCTACCCATTACCTGAATACCACGTGCGTGCTGTTCTTACTTGGCTACCTCTTTTTAAAAACCTGACATAAATTCTGCCGTGACTCGGATAAAGGGCTTAAAGTCAGGATAGGTGGGATTCCTCCTTGGTTTTTTTCCCCTCTTTTTTCTTTTTTTGTTTGGTCTTCCTTTTTTGCTCTGAGGAATAC